CCTAGTAACTTAGAAAACCACATATTAATATTACCTATGTCTTGCTGAGTTTTTATTTATTTTGTTAAACATATTCCAATAATATTTTAATTTAATTCAGGCCACACACTCAGAAGTCTTGTGGGCCACATGTCTGATACCTCTGCTCTAACGGATCTATAATCTCATTGATTCCCCAACCAAGAACCCACTCTATGGTCTCAACCCAGAGATCCCTGTACCTGCCACCACAGGAGCCAGGAGAATGAGAGCAGACCTGGGATAGAGATTGGGGCACAGGTAGCTATAATTCAGACTTCCTCCACCAGTCCCTAGCTCTTCATTCTGAAGCTTACTCTGGCCACATTGGAAGTACCCTGCACTGCCGTGGCCTCTCCTTTTGGATGGCTCCTCCCAGGACCTCTAGTAACAGAGGGCACCAAGGCCAGCGGCTGCACCAGGAATGCCTACAAAGCCCTCTTTGGGTACCTTCATTTGCACCTCCATCCCTCCCCGCTTTTCTGCTTCCTTTTACGCGTTGTCTTCCTCCATTAGAACGTAAGCTCCTTTAGAGCAGAGATTATCTTTTTTTTTCCTGCTTGTATTTGTACGCCCAAAGCTTAGCACAGTGCCTGGAACACAATAAATGTTTGTTGACTGACTGACTGCACCAGGGCGGTAGCAGCGTCAGAGGAGAGAAGGGGGCATATATAGAGATGTTGAAAAGGTACAAGTGACAAGACACAGCAACAGATTTGATGTGGGGTGGGGGTGGGAGGAAGAAAAGTGAGAGGTCAAATATCACACCTAGGTTTCAAGCCTCTAGGTGATGGTGGTACCCTTGACAGTAATAGATAAGTTATGAAGAGGGTAGGGTTGGGGGAAAGATAATGAGTTCAGTTTGGGAAATGTTGAGTTTAAGACGTCTACAGGACATCCAGTTTGGGATGTCCAATTTAAATGTATGCCAAATAAAAAGGCCCTTGGAGAGCATCTAATCCAATCACCTATTTTACAGATGAGGAAATTAAGGCCGTGGTAGGACATGTGACATGTTCAAGGTCACTCAAGCTAGAGAAGCAGCATGATAGAATCCGTGGCGCTCTAGACTTGGAGTCAGGAGACCTGGATCTGAGTCTTGGCTCAGGCATTTATTAACTGTGTGATCAGGGACAAATCCATCAGTCAGTCTAAACCTCCATTTCCTCATCTTCAACATGGAGATTCAATGGTTTGCATCATATAATTTAATTTATTATGTTATTATAATTTAACTTATCTAATTTCATCTACAGCGAGTGGGAAGAGACAGAGGAAGACAGAGGAGGAGGAGAGAGAGAACCAGGTCAACAGTGAAGATGATTCTGGGCTGTTCCATTCACCGAGTTTATGCCTGGGAATGTCTCAAGTGGATTTATAATAACCAAGGAAACAAAGTTTGGTTTTCACAGCAAGTATGAGACAGGTGCCTGAATCTGCCATTCCCCCGGGTGGTCTCATTTTCCACCAGCAGCTGCCTAAGCAGGATTCTAGATTTTCCCCCTTTATCCACATCCGCAGACAACCTATTCATTCTGCTTATGGTGAGGGCACTAAGAAAAAGGACAACCTTAGGTGGCCTTCCTAGCATTCTTGGTAAGTCAGAAGGCCCTTGCTGTGGACTTCCTTGTGTCCTCATTTGCCTCATAGTAAATCCAGAAGATAAAACAATTATGTGGTCACAACCCTATACTCACAACTATGTCTAAAGTTGTTTCTGGAGCATTTTGTTCTCTAATCAAATTTCCTGCCAGCTAAGGCTTTCTCTGTTTTGTTTTGTTTTTCATTTGAGTAGAAGTTCTGGTTCCAGCTTCTTCCCTAATCAATAGCATAACTAGGTGTTATGAAAACTAAATTTTATGTTCACTTGATTCCATAGCAACCATCTCAAATCACCCATCTGCTCTCTGATACAATCTGCTTTCCTTTAAAGAGACCCTATCCTCCTTTTAGTTACAACTATTTAAAGAAACTGTATTGTACTTAATGGGCAAATTAAGAGACTTTCAAAGGTAATTTTGACTATATGTGATTTTTGCATTATGCACTGTCTTTAAATCTAACACTTCTTTCCACCCCTCAACAAGATATAACTAATGAAATCTTACTTTTTATGTCACAGGGTTGTTGTAAGACAAACACACTGTAAACTGTGAAAAGGGATAGAGCCTAGACCTGTGGTTTGCATTGGTACGGGAATTCCCAGAAGGGGAAACTCACTCTACTTACACAGGTTGGCACCATCTCTGCAACTTATGATTTTCGAGAATTGCCTACAGCAGAAAGGTTATATGGCTTCCCCAGGGTCACAAAGTATACTTTAAAGAACTATTTAAATGTGAGATACTATGACAATATTTGACAGAACCAAGAAGAAAATCCTGGTATTCTTTTGACCACTTCACAGTCTCTATGGGGGCACCATCCCCCACAGAGAGTGGCTTTTCTCCTATTGCTCCACAGCAGGATTTCTTAACCATTTTTGTATCATGGACCCCTTTGGCAATTTGGTAAAGTTTTCGGATTCTTTGGAACCATTTTTTTTCTTTTTAAATAGTATTTTATCTTTTCCAATTACATGTAAAGACAATTTTAAACATTCATTTTGAAAAAATTTTGAGTTCCCAGTTTTCTTCCTCTTTCTCTCACCTCCCCCCTCCCTAAGATGGTAAGCAATTTGATATAGCTTATATATGTGCAATCATGGAACCATGTTTTTAAATGCATAAAAGAAAATCCATAGGAATGCAAAGAAAATCAATTATATTGAAAGATAATTATTAAAATGTTTTTGAAAACGTGTCCACTGAACCAGGTTGAGAACTTCTGTTCTACAGGTTGTTGTAGGGGACCACAAATTTTGATCAGCACCAATAGTTGTATCCTCTGTGTGATCTCTACAGACTTCATTTCTCTCCTCTCTTCCTGCTCCCCAGTTTATCTTTTCGTCACAAAAATTTACTCAAAGCCTCTTTTATTCAATCATCATTCTTCCAAAATCTACCTCCGTACTTTGAATACCCTTCCTTAGACCCTGGTTCATCACATTCTCTCCTGTTAGTCATGCCCTCAAACATCACTGGAAGGCCTGTGTGTTCCTGTAATAAGCCTTCCCTCAGAAGTTTTCTTCAAGGAAAGTCATTGTCCACTGCCCTTCCCACATCAAGGATACACATTATCTGAATATCTAACCCTCCTGAGATTCATCACATGTACACCATCCAAATGCTACAAATTATGGCAATACTGATTTCACCCATATTATTTACTCATTGTATAATTACTTGTTTCTATGGCCTTGATATATGTGTTTTCATAGTCAGGAAGCTGGAGAACAGAAATAACATCTATTTAATTTATTTTGTATTACACCAAGCACAATGATGTGTACAGACTGGTGCTTGATTAAAGTTTTTCATGATGATAATACTTAAAAGATATGGTCACAACATCCTCAGAAACATCTCTTAGCTTACGGCATAGGGAGATAAAGGCACTATCTCATATTAAGGTGAAAGTTAAACACTTTCTCAAACATGCCACTGATCTCTCTACCAGTAGTTTCCAGCTTGTCTATAACATACTGTCACCACTTAATAGCATTTGCCTTACAAGGTCTATGATGTATATAGGATTGTTTGCTCCTACAATACAACTCCAAACTTTTGCCTTTTTGATTGCTTTTAATAGTTTCTCTTTCTTCCTGTGTTTTCAGGTTCTAACCAGGGCTTCTGGAAAGAATCTTAGAGGTCACGTAACTCAGCACCATCAAGTTACAGATTAGGAAACTGAGGTCCAGAGAGATAACATAAGGTGGCCAAAGTAATGCTGTGAGAAATAGTAAAGGGAGGACTAGAACCTTGGTCTCCAAACGCCCAATCTATAATATCACCATCTCTCTGCTGTCAATATATCTGCCTACAGCAACTTCTCTCCTACTTCTAATCAGATGAAGGCTTGGATTCAATTGTATTAGAATAATGTGGAAAAAGTAAAGAGTTTTTAAAGTCTTGAGGGGTTGTTTTATGAGTAAGATGTATGCGCGTTAGTGACTTTGGCTTTTGCCCATTTGGAGGCCTTCTCCCCTTTCCCTCTTTCTTGGCTCTCATCATTAATTCAAAAGGTAAAATTGATGGACAGAAGATTTTCCAGAAAAGTATTAATAATACTAATACAACATTTCAGATATATGTCTTCGTGGGTTGTCCTGGTAAACTAAGCATTTATAACATTGTTTCTGTGAGAAAATATATTCCAAGTTCTAAACCCAGTTAGAAATAGAATTTTGAAATACAATTTGTTCATAAATTGGATGTCACTTTTGGTGGCAATAAAGAACTAGAAACAAATGCTCATCAGTTGGGAAATGGCTAAACAAATTATGGTACATGAATGGAATGAGATATTACTACTGTTCCATAAGAAACACAAATATGAAGAATTCAGAAAAGCATGGTTAGTCATGTGAATTAATGCAGAGTGAAGAGGAATTAGGAAAATAATATATACAATAACTAAAACAATGTAAATTGAAAGAACAACCAAAACTAACTTCCTGAAACTGAATGCAACTATAATGACCAAGCTTTTCCCCAAAGAAGAGATGAGGAAATGTACTTTCTTTCCTTTTTTGCATAAACTGTCAGATCTGGTTGATATGTTAATTTCACAATTTTTTTTTTAAATAAAGATGCTTCACTGAGTGAGGGGGAAGGATATATACAGAGATGAAGATGATGTAAAAACAAAAGATATCAATAAAAATTAAAATTTTTTAAAATAAGTTAGGTAGCTCCTATATCCAAAGGGGCAAGAAGACAGAGAGAGAGACAGAGAGAGAGGAGAAGAAGGAGGAGGAGGAGAAGGATGGGGAGAAGGAGAGGGACAGGGAGAAGGAGAAGGAGAGAGAGAAGGAGTTCTGATGTTCCCTGATGTGTATAAATTACACTAGCTTCCTTTGGGGAAGGTCGTTTATGACTCACCCTGTTAGATTCCCAAGCTTGTCAACAGTCCCCTGGAGAAGACCCAATCATCTTTCTCTCTCCATTACAGCTGCGGGACTCCAGGGGATCTGAAAGCATGCAGTTCCAGAGAGAGGTTAGAAAGACTGTAAACTTAAAGCCCTTGGCTTGAAGACCCTTGGGAAACTTAAGGAAAATGTAATCAGTTCTGGCCACACTTCTGTATTTCTTACATCCTCACACTGAGCAAGTGCTGGCTGTTGTTGTTTTTCAAACTACTCACCAGCATCAGACTCCACGTACAGGATCCCTCAGAGACATAGGCTAGCTACTCCTTCAATTTTAATTCCACAGCTCAGAGGCTCCCATGGCAAAAGGTAGAGAGAAAACATGAAGGATGAAAAAAACTGTTACCTAGTTATGGAAATCCCTGCAGAAACACAGTTCCCCATGCTTTAAAGAAATGCAGTTAGGTAAAGCCAAAGCAGAGTAGAACTGAATGCCCTTCATTCAAATAAAATAAAGCTTTTAGCTGGAGAAATTTTAAAAAGGAAGGACCCAGCATGAAAAGTTCTACCTTTGTTAGGTAATGATTCATCGAAAGCCTGGACCAGGACCTACAATTAGCTCTCACACTGACTTGTGCATTCCTGGTCAAGTGACAATTTCTTTATAGCTTTATTTCCCACATTTGTAGAAGAAAAATGAATTTGTTGGTTAATTTATGGGACTGCATTAGTATAAAAGGGATTTTTAAATAAAAAAATGAGAAGGAAAACATAGAATCTAATTAGTCATAGCCAAAAAAAAGGAGCTATTTTCTTACACTAAATTTGGTAAGTCAACAAGTAAAAAAATGCATTTATTAAGTATTTCCTATGTGCCAGCCACTGTGCTAAGCATATGTATGGTAAGGGATATATACATTCATTCAACAAATATCTATTATGAATGGTCATTAGCAAAGTATTGTACTAGGAGAGTGAGGACAAAATGATGAAAAAGACATGGTCTCAGTCCAAGAGAAGCTTATACGTTATTCTGGTAGACGAGATAAAATATTTCTACAAATACAGAACAAGTGCATGAAAGACTAAATATTCTAATTCAGATGAGAGTGAAAGAGATCACTTCTGGAAGGCAGGTTTCATGGAGGAAGTGAAAAAGAACTGTGTCTTAAAGAATGGGAAAGATTACAATGAGTACAGATGGGGAGGGGAAAGAGAAAAGACATTCCAGGCACAAGAAAGTGAGTGGGCAAAGTCACAGAGGCCTGTAAGTGCTGTTTGAGGAACAGTAGGTAGTGCTTACTTACTTACATGCTGAGGATGCACAAAGGGGAGTAGTGAGAGATGAGGCTTGAAAAGTTGGAGTCAGAACTAGACAGTACAAAATACCTGAGAGTATGTATACCTGCCAAAACAGACACAGGAATTTAATGAACATAAACATAAAACGCTTTTTATACAAACAAAGTAAGATCTAAATAACTTAAGTAATATTTATTGTTCATGGATAGGTAAAGCCAATATAATTGTAAAATGACAATTTAACCTAACTAATCTATTTATTCAATGCCATTCCAATTAAATTACTAAAAAAAATCTTACTGAGTTAGAAAAAATAATACCAAAGTTCATTTGGAAGAACAAAAGGTCAGGAACTTCAAAGAATGAGGGGAAAAAGATGTAAAGGAAGGAGACTCAGTAGTCTCAGACCCTAAACTATATTATAAGGTGAGAGCGTTGCTGAAGTGCAAAATGGATGATTTTGATTATTTTAAATTAAAAATTTCTTGTATAAATAAAACCTATGGAGCCAAGAATAGAAGGAATGCAGAAAATTGGGGAAAACTTTCATAGACAATCTCTCAAATAGGATGTGATTTGGTTGGAATATTGCTATGGTACAGGAAATGATGAGCTGGTTGGTTAATTTAGAAAAACACAGAAAGGGTTGGACTTATGACAGAAGACGCTATCCACTTTCAGAGAAACAGACGACAAGTGGAAATAAGCATAGGACGGTCTTACATATATTTGTACAAGTGGTATGTGTATATGTTTATAAATATCTATGTATATGTATATATACATACACATATTTATCTGGACTTTATTCTGTAGGCAATGGGGAGTAATTGAAGGTTTTAAAGGAGGGGAGTGATGCAAACTGAGCTCTGTGTATGGAACGTTTCTTTGGCAAGAGTAGGTTGGATGGACTGGGGAGATGGGAGACAAAAAAGGTGATTGGGAGGTTATGACAAGAAATGGGAAAAACAGTGATGGCCTGAGCTAGGTTTCAATGAGAAAGGAAAGGAAAAGAAGGACATAAGAAATAGTGAGAAATGAAGTAAAATGGACAACTAGATTTTGCTGAAGAGGTAAGTGAGGACCTAGGAGTTAAGTAACCTTCCCAAGGTCATATAGCTAGTAAAGAGTCAAAGTCAAGAACTGAACTGAGGCCCTCTGACTTCAAATTCAGTGGTCTTGTCATTACATGTCTCTTGCTTTTCTCTGTACTTCACTTTCCCTTGCTTAGCGATCTCTTTCATTGGCTTTCCCTTGCTTAGTGATCTCTTTCGTTTTCATTACCTTGGAGATCTTGGAAACAAAGGGCTCACATAACTGGTTTAAAATCAAGGACCTACTCTGACATTCTACTTGGGTTGCTGGGAACACAGTGATTAAATATGGAGGTGGATGCTTTTCATTTGGTCCTTACTGACACACAGACTGAATAATGTTTCATGATTGGGAATCTTATGTATGGTGTGGTGAATGAAGCTCATGAAGCTGGTAGGACAGCTCTGACATTTTACTACACAAACTGTTTCTTGTTTGCAGCAACTATCTCTGTCACTTATCCAGGTATCTACCCATTTGGCCCTTGGTATGGGCACCCCCTCTGCCAATGCTGTTTACAGTCCCCTCCATGCCTTATCAGATGGTCTTTCTGAATTAATAAACCCCCAAAAGACCCAAAAATCATCCCCACACAGCCAGTCTGCTGATGGTAAGTTTCTCTGTTAAGTCAACAAGCATCGATTAAGGGCTAAGCACTGGGATACAAACAAAGGCAAAAACACAGTCCCAGCCCTCAAGCTGCTCACAGTCTAATGGGGGAGACAACATGCAAACAACTGTGTACAACCAAGATTCATACAGATCAAATTCGGGGCAGCTTCAGAGGGAAGGCAGTAATGGGGAAAGATGTCTGGCAGAAGTTAAGATTTTAGCTGAGATTTGAGAGAAGCTGGGGGACAGGAGTGAGGAGGGAGTCTTCCAGGTTCGGAGGACAGTCAGTGAGAAGGCAGAGCCAGGAGATGGGGTGCTGTGTGCAAGCAACAGTAAGAAGGCCAGTGTTGTTGGATTGTTAGCTACATTCAGGGAAGTAAAATGTAAGATTGGAAAGAGGGAGCCAGGCTTTAAAAGTCAAACAGAGAAGTTTATATTTGATCCCGCAGGTAACTGGGAGCCACACTGATTTATTGAGTAAGGGTGGGGCCGACACGGTCACAATTGCACTTTCAGGAAAATCACTTTGGCAGCCCAGTGGAGAAGTGGGAAGTGGCTTGGGGCAGGTGAAAGGTACTGCAGCAGTTCCAGGGTGATGAGAGCCTGTGGCTGGGTGGCAATCAAGTGAATGGAGAACAGGGGACTTGCATGTTCAGGTGAGCCTTGAAAGGTCAACATATAGTTCACCATCAAGCACATATGCTGAGCCTTTTCTCAGTAGCATTTGCCAGACCGTGTACTGATTGGGTCTAGCCTTGGAAGGCCCAAGGTGAACTCTAAACCATTACGAAGCATTAAAATAAGTAACCAAGTGTAGGATCATTCTAGGCACACCATTTTTAATGTCATTCAGAAGTTGAGAACAGTACAAACTCTCATGAATTCATGATCTGTGCTTTTTTCCATGGAGTGGCATATGTAGTGACAGATCTGTGATTCTGACACATCACTTAAAATGACACTTCTCAGCTGTGCTGGGTGACATATCTCATCTTTTTATTTTCATTTTAATTTAAGGACATTCTCAAGTATAAGGTCATGGTTTGATTCTCTCTTTCTCTCTCTCTCTCTCTCTCTGACTCAATGTCTCAGTCTGTTTCTGACTCTATCTCTTTGTCTTTTTCTTTTTGCCTCTGTCTCTATATGTCTATTTCTATCTCTCTGTTTCTCTCTTTGTGTACGCCCACACCCCATTATTGGTATACTTTTTATCTTTTAGTTGTTTTATTGGTGCTTTTAAAAAATACCAACGTAACTTATGAATGACAGCCCCAATAATGTTAAGTACACTTAAGTACTTGAACAAAGTAAAAAGGTCAAGGTCTTCCACTGTATCCAGGGCCATGGCCAGTCGTTTTGACCTATGTCCTGCCACTGGACTCTGATGACTCTGGAGGAGAGAGTGAGACTGATGACTCTGCACAGCTCTGCCTCACTTAAATCCAATTCTCTTGTAAGTCAAGACATCACCCTGCTGATATCATTGGTTCTCTTGGAGAATAAACAACAACAACTGACCCACAGAAAAGCCTCACGATCCAGAAGTGCTTATCTCTGCTGAGGACTGGGCAGGAGCAGTCTCCTTCCTCTCAGCTTTACTTACTTCCACTTTAAAGACTCACATTCTTTATTACTTTTACATTATTTTTATCTAGAGACATTTTTCTGATTTCTGAACTTGCAATGAACTGTTAGGAAAAAAAAAAACCCAGTGGGTTGGTAGCCAAATCAGGGTTTAAATCCCAGTTCAGATACTAGCCTTGGAGTCAGGAGGACCTGAGTTCAAATCCAGCCTCGGACACTTACCACTTATTAGCTGTGTGACCTTGGGCAACTCACTTAACCTTTGGCCTTCAGTTTCCTCATCTGTAAAATGACAAGTTGGACAAGATGATCTCTAAGGCCTTTTCCTGCTCTAAATTCTACAATTTCCTATGGAAAAAAGGAATATAATCTAAGAGAACAAAAATTTATTTCATCTACTTTAGTCTTCCAAGAAAAAAAAAAGGGAATTTCAATTAAAATGTTAACTGTTTTTTTAGTGAGAAAAGTAGCCTTATCACGAGGTCGGCAGGGACCTATTTAGCTTAAAG